ACTCACAGGGTTAACCTCCAAGCTCCTGAGCACCACTGGATATTACCGAAACAAAATAAAACACAAAAGAATAAATTTCCAGAGGTAGAGTCATGAGGGCTGAATAGTAACAATCTGGTTTACCGCCTGTCATGTTTATAATACACCTTCACGGAAACTGACCTTGAGTCTTGACAAATAAAATTTCCACAGTTAAGGGGTGGAAAGGAAGAGTGCCCAGAGGGACGAGAGAGAGAGAGAGAGAGAGAGAGAGAGAGAGAGAGAGAGAGAGAGGCAGAGACAGAGAGACAGAGACAGAGAGACAGAGAGACAGACCACAGAGCAGCCAAGTGACCAACGGGATGAGATTTCTAAGGAATGTTGGAAGTACATCTGCAATGAATCTAGCAGCCCCACCTTATAGTCCCACACTTACGGCTGTGGGGGAGGCCAGAAAAGATAGAATGTGAACAGGGTTGGGGCTGCCCTTGGGTGACATTTGGGTAACCTCTCACAACTGTTCAATAGCAGCGCTGGTGGATTTCTTATTGATCTCACTCTCCATAGTAACAGCCCCTGAGGTGAGCCCCACCCACCCCTATCTCTCTGGGGCGGGAGAGATAGTTATTAAGAGTGTTTGCCCGCAGACAAAGAGAATAATTCCCTGCCAGTCTGAAGCTGAATGCTACTGAGTAAGCTATACCCACTTTGGTCCCTCTTAAGAAGGGGGAGTGCCACCTGCCAGCTCTAGAGTGGGCACATTGTTACCAGCTGGAACTGAGGACCACCTTTTATTTTGTGGTTTTCTATTTTTTTTTGGGGGGGGTGATCTGAGCCAGGCCAAGAACTGTGCAGGGGCTGTTCCTGGGTCTGTGCTCAGGACTGATACCGATACTCATTAAAGCGCTGAGCATGTGGAGGTGCTGGGAGTTTGAACTCTGACTGGCCACAGGCAAGGGAGTTGCCCTCCTGCCTGTCCGTTCAGGCTTCCAGTCTCCTGTGGAATATGCATCAGATCCTTATCCTTAGGAACTGCTGGACGCTGGGCCCTTCATCATTGCCTCAGACCCACTAAAAGTAACTCTCAGATGCTGCTGAGCACACTATTTAGGTCCCCCGGTGCCCTGTCTGCTCCCCTGCTTGTCTCTCACGCCCTCCTGAACTCTGGGCAGCACCTTGAGACACCCATGATTGCTCACCGCAAGTCATTTTCCAGACAGGCTCAGGCCTGGCACGCAGCCGTCCGGGGGGCTTTTGCATTTGAATCCCTCATTTCTCCCAGACAGGCCTGACCTCAGTGCCACAGCCGGGGCCAGATAGCAGAGACTGCATTTCCCTAGGTGTCACCCAGGCCCACTCAAACCAACGGCCCAGCCCCTGCCCAAGTCATCTTGCATCACTGGGCAATATGCGGAAAGAGAGGAGCTTGTCTCCGGTGAGGGATTCAGATGGCAGCCTGGTAGGAATTCAGCCATTCAACCACTTAACGAAGATATCAAAGTAACCGTCTTCATGGTACTCACTGAAATAGATTGATATGAGTACCTCAACAAAGGAACAGTCTGAGCTCATGTTTGGAAAACAGCCCAAGCAAATCATAAAGGAAAGACTATAGTAGCTGAACTGAACAGTATATTTTAAAAGAGGCCAACAGCAGAATAGAAGAAGTAGAAAATCAAATGAATGAGCTAGACTCCCTCAAATTAGTGGAAACCATCCAAAAGGAATAGAAAGAAGAAAGAATAGAAGTAACGAAGAAACCACAAGAACCATAGAGGAGAACAGCATTAAGAGGAATAACATTGGTTCCGTAGGTCTAGAAGAGAGAAGGAAAAGAACAGAGTTCTTATTTGAAGAAATAGCCAAGTACTTACCCAAACTTAGTAAGGAGTTAAGATACCGGATCCAGAAAGCTCAGAGAATTCCAGATGATAGAAACCAAATCAGATACACACTTCAAGAGCTAGTATAATTAAAGAGCATAAAAATCACAGAGAGTGGTCAAAAGCACTAAGAAAAAATGCAAAGTGTCACATATTATGGAGACTCTGTTGAAGACTATCAGCACATTTCCCCACTGAAACACTGTAGGTGAAGGGAGTGACAGGATATAGTAAAAGCACTGAATGGAAAAGTCACTGGGTTGAGTCAAGGTTTGTCAAAACATTTGGTCAAATCAGGGTTTGTCAAGATTACCTTTCTTTTCAGAATGGGTCATGGCATCCTAATTTTTATTTTGCTGAATAATTTTGGATTGTATCCTAGATTATTTATATATTTTTTTCTGAGTCTCTGTTTCTATTTCCTTCCTCTGAAGGATGGAGTTCCTCTTTATTTTCAGATTTAAGTTCATTTCACTCACACTGAAAAGTCTATTATTTGGGCAGTGCTGACATATCTTCTTAGTTCTTTTTTCCTCACTGGGATGTTTTAACTCTTGACAAGTACCTGGTAGTAATTTATTTATTTATTTATTTTGGTTTTTGGGTCACACCTGGAGATGCTCAGGGTCTACTCCTGGCTCATTTACTCAGGAATTACTCCTGGTGGTGCTCAGGGGACCATATGGGATGCTGGGAATCGAACCCGGGTCGGCCGCGTGCAAGGCAAATGCCCTACCTGCTGTGCTATTGCTCCAGCCCTCTGGTAGTAATTTAGAGGTCAGTAAGATACTGAGGTATAATACTTTAGTCTATGGAATTTATTATAAGCTTCCTATCAACTTTGTTTCCCAACTTTGTTTTGTGTGTGTGTGTGTGTGTGTGTGTGTGTGTGTGTGTGTGTGTGTACAAGTCTTTTGGGACACACCTAGCAGTTCTCAGAGGTCACTCCTGGCCAGGCTCTGGGCACTATATGGATGCCAAGGATCAAACTCAGGTCAGCTGCATAAGCGCCTTAACTTATAGAATATAGCTCTGGTCCCTTCTTTATATTTTTAAATAGCTCTATTTTTCTCAGAGCTCTGTTGTTAATTTCAGAGGCTCAGAAGATGTCACATTTCCTATTTGGATTTCAGCCACACTTTGTGCTGAATGTGCCCAGCCCTTAGGCCAGGAACCATAACATGGAAAGGCCATACTGTTCTACTTTCTGTTCTACATCTCGACATCCTTCTAAACTCAGCCTACATTTTTTTCTACTATATTGACTCCAGATAATTTTAGATTTTTGTTTTGGTTTATGGTTTGTTCAGTTTATAGTTGCTTTGCAAGATTGCTAATGCTGTGTGAACTTATCATTGAAATAGCATGCAGTTGAAATACAAATCCCTTATTATAGTAAGGAATGTTAGAATCTGACTATCCACTCTCCATTTCACAACTTGTTCTATTCTTTATTTTTCATAACTTACCAGCTGGTCTTTCAGAAACATTCCCAACTAGTTCCCCTCTAGCTTTTTGCTTGCTCTTTTTTCTGTTTCATATTTCGGATCCCAAATCTTCATTTACATGATTGTTTGTTTTCATTCAGTTACTTACTATTGTGCCCCAAGTAAGTGTTTCTGTAAAATTAGAATGAAAATGAAAGAAAGGAATAAACCTTCAATAAGTATTCAATATAAAACTTCAATAAGTATTCATGATAAGTAATTTTTATGGATCTTTTAATTTGTTTTGAGTAAATAGGTGTGGGACTATTGGCAATTCATGGGCATGTTTAACTCATAAGAAACTCCTAACAATCTAAGAGCCCTGTATTCTTTCCAATACTCAACAATGTAAGTCTTTTTAATTTCAGCCATTCTGATAAATGTATTATACTTTTCAGTATATTGTGCACTGAGTAGAATTTGCTCTAACTGTTGTACAGTTCTGTAGGCTTTTTTATTTTTTAATTCATCCTCCTTTCCTCCCTCCCTCCCTCCCTCCCTCTCCCTCCCTCCCTCCCTCCCTCCCTCCCTTACTTTCTTCCATCCATCTTGGGTGACACTTGGCAGTGCTTGGGGGTTACTCCTGGGTCTGGTTACACCAGGGATTACTCCTGGTGGTGCTCAGGGACCATATGAAATGGAGGGGATTGAACCTGGGTTGGCCGTGTAAAAGGCAAGTACCCTACCTGCTGTGTTATCACTACGGTTGTATGTAACTCTTAACAGGATTTACGTAGCAAAGGTGACCACTTTGATGACAAATGGGTAGAAAGGATAAAAAAAATTAATATAGGGAATTACCTACAGTAGATAATTTTATTATAATTAATAATTGAATTATATTTAAACTATAATTAATTTAATTATATGTAAATTTAAAATTGTAATAATTTCAAAAGTACTTGTTTATGGGTAGATAAAATTTTATATTTTCTCTTCGATATATATGGCAGGAAAGCCTCCATGGGGTGTATACATGCTGGGATTTTAAGGAAGAAATTAAATTCACCAGTGCATATTTCTCTCTCTCTTTCTCTCTCTCTCTCTCTCTCTCTCTCTCTCTCTCTCTCTCTCTCTCTCTCTCCCCTTGGGCATTGGTGATACACCTTTTAAAGCCTTATCAAGTGAACGCATAAAATTTTTTATTGTGAGGGATGCTTATAACACTGCCAAGAATTATCTACAGTGTTGTTTTGTTTGCTTTACTTTGTAACTTTTTCATGCAAGTATTTGTATATATAAGGTTAGCTAGTCCAAATTAAAAATTGTTCCTGGATAGTGGTTCTTAATGTAGAAGCTTGGGCTGGTAATTGTGAGAGTGAACACGGAGAGGAATGTTTTAAGTACCTGTTGTAATAGTATGAGCTGCCTTGTGGAATGTATGTGCGTGGACAAAAGTCTGTATTCGTTCATGCAACATTGATTGAACAGCTTTCATGTGGTGAGATGTTAAGACTGCCTTCTCATGCGTCTTTTTCCTTTTCTTTTTCCAAAGGATTGGAGGCTGGGCAGGGTTCTAATGTAGAGCCAGATAATTGACTCTTGGATTCTTTCCCAGTTTTCTGGCAGAATATGAGATTGTACGCTGCTAATATCTTGATAGTATCCTGTAAACAAAATATAGATTTTGTTTTCTTTTATTCCCTGACAGGTTGGTTCAGAGGATACACCCTCCAGAATAAATCTAAAAAGGTATGACTTGTTATTCAGTTTATTTTTTATTTGATCTCTGCTAAGTTTTGCTTTGTTGTCTGATCTCATTAAGTGTTACGTGTCTGTATCTTATCTTTAGGTTTTTGCTTTTCTTTTTGATGGCTGATCTTTAGATTTGAAGGGAAGTCGTCTGACCTCAGTACTCAGATGAAAAAGCCCAAATACCATCTTTCTCACCAACAAATTCAAGGAGAAGGACCATACAGCTTCTCCCAGGCCCTCAAAATAAGCAAAATGGCAATATCATGCCAGTAATAGAGTGAGTTGTTTGATGGGCAGAATCATATTTCAACTTTTTAAAATTTATTTTCTTTAAATGTTACTTTTGTTTTAAATATCACCAATACCCCTAAGGGCGGGGGGGGGGGGGGAAGAGAGAGAGAGAGAGAGAGAGAGAGAGATACACACTGGTGAAGAAATGATATTGGATTAAACCAATCATGAATAACTTTGTAACTGTGAATCTCATGGTGACTCAATTAAAAAAATTTTTAAATATTACCTTTTAGAACAATTATTTAGTAAGGGCTTTATTTAGTTCATTAATATAAGCCAGAGTAGTAGATTCAAACTGAATCTCATAACCCCAAATAGCACAATGTGGAATATGTACAGTGGGTTATAACACATATTAAATATAAAAGAATGGAATACTATAGTAAATAGTGTTTTGTAGAGCTTCTGTTTTGTGTACATATTTTTCTGTATATTTTGTCTAAAATTTTTATTTTATGAATAGTGAGTACTGAGTTGCCATGTAAATCTTATCTTGTCATGGGAAGAGTTTGAAAACTATTGACCCTAGCAGGTTCTCTATGCCAGTGTCAAAGCTACTGGTCATCAAGCTAACGAAGATCTATTAATTATGTTAATACCCCCTTCAGCTTATTTTAGGTCAGGTCAGCGCTTTTGCTGGGCAGTATAGCATGTCAGCACTTTCCTGTGTAAGAACAGTTTTGATAACATCACAAGTAAAATAGTGAGTTAGGAAAGGGATGAGGAAAGCTCTTTAGCATTTATCAAAGTTGAGTATCCTTCAAAAGACCTCAGAGACTCAGAAAAACACCTTTCTTTTAAAGATGATAAAATCAGGGTATTAAACCTGTACTGTCTGGGCCAGAGGGTGCCCAGTGGGCTGATGCAGGCCTTACGTGCAATGAGACCCGTGTGAATCCCCAGCACCATGTGGTCCCTTGAACCAGGAACAGCCTCTAAACACAGCAGGGTGTGGTCAAAGAAATCTGGACTGTCCTCATCAAGCTTTCAGTATTGTTGATTCCTTAGTGCATGTACATGCATGCATATGCACAATACTCTCTTTGTCTACTGACAATTTATTTTTTGATTTGTTTGCTTTTTTTTGTCACACCCAGCAGTGCTCAGGGTTTACTCCTGGCTTTGCACTCAGGAATTACTCCTGGCATTGCTTGGAGGACCATATGGGATGCCAGGGCTTAAACCCGGGCTGGCCTCATGCAAGGCAAATTCCCTACCTGCTGTTCTATCGCTCAGGCCCTCCACTGACAATTTAAAGTAGTGTTTTGCTTTTGTTTCTTCTTTTGTTGGGTCCACACCCAGCAGTCCTCAGGGCTTACTCCTGGCTCTCTGCGTTCAGGGATCACAACCGGCATTCTTGGGGGACCACCTGGGATATGGAGGAATCAAACCTGGGTCAGCTGTGTGCAAGGCAAAAACCCTACCTGTTCTATGTTCTTGTGTACCATGAGCTCATTTCTAATTTTATAATTTTTCATCTAATCTATTATATACTTTGTTTTGTTTTGTTTTTGTTTTGGGGGTTCTGCATACCCAAGGCATACCCCTGGCTCTGTGTTCAGGGTGTGGTGCTTGATCGGCCATATGTAGTGCCAGAGATCAAATCAGGGTTGGCTATATGCAGGGCAAGCACCTTGCCCCTGGATTATCATAATGTTCCTCCCTAGGGACCTCAGAGTGACAGATGTTCTGATATGAATGAGAATGAAAACAAAGCAAAGACCTTTCTTCTGGGCTTGTTTATTGGGTTGGGTTTAACTGTTTATCCTTAGTCATAAGGATGCAAGTGGCAGTGATTTCAAAGCATAATTTCAAATTTGGAGCTTTGCTAATTTGTTATTTTTTGTTTGTTTGTTTTTTCAATTTTTTTGCTTTTTGGGTCACACCCAGCAATGCTCAGGGGTTACTCCTGGCTCTGTGCTCAGGAATTACACCTGCCGGTGCTCAGGGGACCATATGGGATGTCGGGGATCGAACCTGGGTCAGCCACGTGCAAGGCAAATGCCCTACCTGCTGTGCTATCGCTCCGGCCCCTAATTTGTTATTGTTGGGGACATACCCCGTGGTGTATATGAGAGGTAACACAGAACTGGGATCAAACTTAGAGCCTCATAAATGAGTCTATGTGCTCTATCAATTGGACAATTCTCAGCTCTGAAATTTCACTAATTTTAAAGTTCTGCATGTATTAAAGCGCAAGAATATTTTATTTTAATTTCAAAGTATGAGCTGAGAACCAGTCTTGTATGAATTAAAGAACAACCAAAATTCCTGATTTTTTTTTAAGAGGGCTACAGCCAACAGTGCTCAGGGCTTACACCTGGCTCTTTGCTTAGGGATCACTCCTGGCAGTCCCAGGGATTGAACTAGTGCCAGCCACCTGTTGAATAATCACTCCCACCCCATACTATCTCTCCAGCCCTCAAATTCTTGATTTTCAAAATATTTTTAGTTGGGTAAAACAACGCCCCACACAAGCATCACCTTCTAGCATAGAAATTATTCATTTCTGAGAAATCCTGTAATTTCAGACATTAAAATCCATCTTGCTAGATTTGAAAATTGTATAGAGTGCCCCACTCTAGAGTGTTCTATACATTATGAATGCATTCTAATTTTTTTTTAAATCTGTATTCAGGGCCCAGATAGGTAGTATAGGGCATAAGGTGCTTTGCTTGTGTGTGATCCCCAGCGTCTCATATAGTCCACCAAGCACTGACAGGCATCATTCCTGAGGGCAGAACCAGGAGTAAACCCTGAGCATCGCTGGGTGTGGTTCCAAAACAAAACAAAAAAATCTGTATTCAAGATTTAAAATCTCAAGTTTTAGAATGATTTCTAAAAGTGGTTCTTTCAGTTCTTCATAAATATATATATATGTATATGTATTTTAAACATCCTCAGCATTTCCTCTTTAAACTCCTTAACAGAGACTTCTTTTTATTGAATCACCATGAGATACAGAGTTACAAAGATGATCAGGTTTCAGTCATACAGTGTTCCATCACCCATCCCTCCACCCGTGTACATTTCCCACCACCAATGTCCCCAGTTTCTGTCCCTTCCCCTCCCCCAGTGCGCACTCTCTCTCTCTCTCTCTCTCTCTCTCTCTCTCTCTCTCTCTCTCTCCCCTCCCTCCCCCAACCCCGTCTTTGTCATAGTGGTCCCTTCTCTATCCCAACTGCCTTCTCTCATAGCACTTGAGGCAGTCTTCCAACCATGGACCAATCCTCCTGGCCCTTCTTTCTACCGTCCTTACGTGGATAATTATATTTTGTAATCCAATGAAATAGTAAAAACAAAGGGCTGTACATTTACACACTGATTTCTTTTTAAATGGTGAGCTTTTCTGTCTCTTGTTATTCCCCATTCAGTCTTCCTGCGTGCACTGGGCATGTACACATGCTTGATGGTGATGTGTGCACATTTAACTGCGGTGCTCACAGGAGTCCATGTAATTTAGTTGAGGGGCCCTTGGCTGTGCCCTGGAGATGCTGTGCCAGGGGTCCCCAAAGCCATTTGCACCATGCCTGGTGCATGTGGGTGGCACCTGGAATTGAGCTGGCTTCCTATTCTTATAAGGCAAGCTTTTTGCCACTGAGACTCCCAAGGCCCCTAATTATTAATTTTGAGGTTTTCTGAGTTCAGCTATCTTTCTTTTGCAGAGATCCAGAGAAAATAGAGGGAATTGAAAGTCAGTTGTCAGGAATGATGTTCAGCTTCAGATACCCTTTCATTAAGATATACAGCCCTTTTTGAAATGCTCATGAATGCTATTTTCTTCCTTGGCAGTCTTTTGTGGCAGAGAACTTGAAAGGCCTATTATTTTAATGGAAATTTTTGATGTCATTTAAAAGCAGACCTAGGCATTTAGAGGGGTAATAAAACGAGCTAGTGGTTTTACAAATTGCAGAAGCCAAGAGCTTCGCAGAAGCTGATTATTGATCCTGGCAGTATTGTGGAAGTCTGCTGAAGGGCAATATCTTGAAAAGAATTTGTTTATTTTTTACTCAAGTAAGTAGGTTGTACTGAGAAAGGAAAAGCAAAATTGAGAGATAGATTTTTAAATAAAACTTTATTACATCGTTTTATACTCACCTCCTCTGTGTGTAATGGGATAGGAAATTTTATTATGTATCGCACTACTAGAACATTTAAATGGCTACCATTGAACATGTATTATCATTGAAAAATAATTTCAGCGGATTACACAGTGGTAATGCAGTAAAATTATTTTTATCTTAATGTGAAAATCATCATTTTGGTTTTGCCAGCACAAACTCTTTGCTTCATTATCACAAAACAAGTTATTGTTGGTAATCCTGATTTCTTGTCTCAGATTTTTCTTAGTATGAAACCAAGTCATTAGACTATGAATGCATGAAAATTTTCATTAGCCTGTTGCCTTCTTGATTTGGAAAATCATCTTCAAGGATATTTCTGGGCCTGGCCTTATGACTGTCACTCTCACTGTCCTCCCTTTGCTCATTGATTTGCTCAAGCGGGCACCAGTAACAACTTACAACAAATTGTGAAACTTTTTGTTACTGTTTTTGGCATATCAAATACATCACGGGGAACTTGCCAGGCTTTGCCGTGCAGGCGAAATAACTCTCGGTAACTTGCCAGGCAGAGAGGGGCAGAGGAATTGAACCCGGGTCAGCTGTGTGCAAGGCCCTAACCGCTGTGCTATCGCTCCAGCCCAGCCTCTGCGGTGATGGAAGCGTTTTGGTTGCACTGCCCGAGGTGGCGTTCCAGGATGTCCTCGTACTAGTCCACTGTCAAGGCGCCACCCCGAGATGTCTGGCGGTGGAGATTGGAACTGCAGGCTATTGAGAGAGGCTGCATTGCCTCCGGAGCAGGATGCCAGCGCTGGGCCTTAGGACATTTTATTTTAATCTCCAAATCTATTTCCTGATAACTGCTATTGACAGACCCGGAGAGATAGTGCAGTGAATAAGGCACTTGCCTTAAACACAGCTGACCTGGTTTGATCCTTCGCACTTCATATAGTCTCAGGAGTACTTCCCAGAGTGATCCCTGAGCACAGAGCAAGGAGGATGGCCTGAGCACAGCTGGATGTGGTCGACAAAGACTAAAAACAAAGACCTGTCAGAAAAGGTGCCATTTTGTTTTGACTTAAGCAATAATAGGATCCTTTATCTTCACCAATGCTGGAAACAGCTTAACCCATTTTCTTGACATTTTCTGATTTTTGTTTGTTTAGTTTGTTTTTGTGCATACCTGTGGGGTTTAGTATTCAGTCCTGGCTTTGGCCTCAGGGATTACTCCTAGAAGGGTCCAACCTGAGTCAGCCAAATGCAAGGCAAGTGGCCTACCTGCTGTACTATTGCTCCAGCCTGTTTCCTGTTTTATTGGCAAAGAATTAAAAGAAGAGCGTTGAACAGATGAATATCATAGACACAGTGGCATGACCACTTCTTGCCCTGAATGGATTAAGAATCATTGGCCTCCCTCCCTTTCTCCCTCCCTCCCTCCCACTTACTCCTGCCTCTGCACTCAGGAATCACACCTGGTGGACCTGAGTGGATCAGCTGCATAAAAGGCAAATGCCCTACCTGCTATACTATCTCTCTGAACCCCTCCCCCATCTTTGACCAGTACCCACAAGACAGTGTCATCAAAAACCTTGACATGAAAGGCCACAAGATCACATTAACCTTTGCAGGTGTGAGGAGTTGGTACAAATTTAACAAGCCAGTGGGGCCCAGTAACTGGTTTGTCTGTGATCTTTGGGTTTACATGCAAGGTTCTATGAAAGGAAGATGTAATATCTGTTCTAGGTCCTGTAACTTTGTTTTTCATTAATGAGTGTATCACAAAGTTAAACACTACCATTTGGAATTTCAGAAAACACTATCCAAGATTTGCTTCCTGTTAGTTAGGTCCGATCTTCTATTCTCCTCTTTCTACTAAATTATTTCTTCTCTTTCTCTTTAGTCTTTCTGGGCCTTAGTTTTCCCATCAGCATTGCCACAGTAGTTGATGTAGGGTTGCCTCTTAGGGATGTAGAATTGAGAACAATTTGAGACTGGGAAGTGCTGAGAATAACCAGATAACTAGTACTAATTGATTTGGGGCACATTTGGCTTAAGTGGAAGTGCTGAGAGGAATTGCTTAGCAAATCACTATAATTTTATGGGCCACTAAGTACACAGCCCTCCATCTACTAATTATGTGAAACCCATTTAGGGAAGTGTCTTGTGGCAAATATCTGGAGAGGATTTAGGAGCTCATTACTAAACTCTTAATCATTATTGCAGCTCTGAACGGACCCAGACATGCTTTCCTGATAACTTACAAAGCATCACACCTAGTCCCTGTGATCCCATTTTTGTGTATTTTTTCTCAGATTTTTCAGCAATTCCTTCCTTTGGATAGTTGATCAATATAATTGATGTCCTGCAGTGCAGCCTGATGGCAAAATATAGTTATTTTCCAGGTATACTCAAACTCATTCTTCCATAATCATTCCCCATCCCATCCCTTGAGAAAAGAATTGTTTTCTACTTTTGGCAGAGATTTTTATAACCATGTACCAAAACTCTTCTCTTTGCAGGGCATTTTCCCAGAATCATATATCCATTTGAAGGAGGCAACTGTGGAAGATAGAGGGTGAGTTCCAATCTAGAAAAACTCCTAAAAGGTGAAGATGTAATAATATCATTGGAGAAGACCTTCTGCCCATTAACATTTTTTTTACATCATTAATTCTACTCATAAGAGAAATGAATGAAAGCTCTTTTGGATCATAATTCCTTCTTTGTCTTCTCTTTCTATGATTGTTTCTCTGGCATCCTTCCCCAACAATCTTGACTGAGAATTGAAAGTTTTTACATTCCTCTCTTACACCACTAGTTCAGCAGTTGTATTTGTGGGTGTGCGTGTGCTCATTTGTGTATGTGTGTGTGTGCACCTGTGCACCCCCCCACATGAACATTCGACATTTTTTATTAAACCCCAAGGCCCTCCAGTTTGGGAAATTTGGGATAGAAATGAGAAAGTTACATCCAGCAGCTCTTAATATTGGACAGGTTCAGGTTGCTGCAAGGCATGTAAGAATTTCTGGGGATTGAACCCCTGTTCATTGCTAATTGAGGGGAAAATTGGCCCTACTTTGGTCATAAGTTTGATGCAAGATTATGGAATGATGTGTATGAATATGCTCTACAGACAGGTCCATATCTTATCCGCCTTGTCATTTATCCTGGGAAGTCCGGCCTCACTGACAGCTAGGACGGGTGACACTCTCAGCCCGCAGAGGGAGAGAGAAGTGCTGATTTGAAGACTCTGCAGACTGGTGAGGAAGAGTAGAGAGGCCGTCAGGAGAGCCTGGGTCGGTCTTCACAGTAGTGTGGGTCCCAGAGCCACAAAGTTTCCAAGCTGGAGAGAGACTCAGAGTTTCCAAGAATATTCTCATTGATAGGTTCTGTACCTTTGTTTAGTAGGCAAGAGATGAAGAGATGGCAACGTTCACATCACTCCTTGGGAGCAAAATTAGAAGTGAAAACCAGGTGTCCTGTCCTCTTAGAGAACCTTTTTTTCTTTTTTTTTTTTTCCCCTTTATTTTATTTTATTTTTTTAAGTTGTAGATTTACAATTTTTTGTGCTTTGGTTTCAATTATACAATGATCAGATACCCATCCCTCCACCAGTGCCCATTTTCCACCACCATGGATAATATCCCTCCCACCCCCATCCCCCCATCCCCCCTGTCTCTGTGGCAGGGCAATCCCCTGTGTTCTCTCTCTCCTTTTGGGTGTTGTGGTCTGCAAAAGAGGCATTGAGTGGCAAACATGAGAACCTTTTTTTCTAGTGTGACATTACTGGGTGGCTTCCAGGGTCCCTGGCCACCCCCCCCCCCCCCCCCCCCGGAAGTCAGGGTAAAGAGTAAAAACCCTTGAACTTTGCATTGTTCTAGTGCATTGCTAGGAAATGCACTTTGCACAGTTTAGTTAGAAATTCCCAGATGATCAACTGGAATTTCTAATTTCTAGTAAGCTTTCAAACTTTTGTTTTGTTTTGTTTTTGTTTTGGGGGCCACACCTGGTGATGCTCAGTGGTTCCTCCTGGGTCTGTACTCAGGAATAACTCCCAGTATTGCTTAGGGGCCCATATGGATGCTGGAGATTGAACCCCGTCGGCTCCATGCAAGGCAAGCACCCTACCCACTGTACTATCACTCTGGCTCAGGTTTCAAATATCTTATGGTACATACCTGAAGATACTACTTTAAGATATTTGAAATCTAAACTTAACTAGCTATCCTATATTTATATTTGATAGTCTGTTGATCTCACCATTAGTCTCCATTCGTTTGCTTGTTTGTATGCTCCCCCATTCTCCTTTCATTCAGATAATTACCCCCCCCCCCCAGTGGATTTAAGTGGATGAGGGTTGGGCCTAACTTGTTACTCATGTGTTCTCGAGTAGTGAGCATTTGAACATCTCTGTCTTATTCTGGAAGTGGCTGATTAGAAGGACACAGAGCCATTCCAGAAAGCGCACCACCCTTTAGTCCCGACCAGCAGGTCTTGTGTGAGAAAACGGGCCTCTCACAGAGCCCTTGTACTGTTTGAACTTCTCTGTCCACTTTTCATAACAAAATTGGGAGAAACAGCAGAAATAGAGGACTTCCGCTGAAGTGAGCCAGTTTCCCATAGCAATTTCACGACAATCAGTGGCAGGAGCTGGTTCCTTTTTACGAACTCTGATGTTCATGTGCTTAAATTGGTCGAGGTTTTCTACACCGACCTCACCACAAGTTTCACTTGGTTTCAAATTTAGCCAGCGCCGACCCAATCCCTGAGCTTTGGGCGAATAAACCCCATCAGGAAAATCAGTGGTGATACACCCGGAGTAAAGTGCGCCTGTCTGATTCTCCTTAGGCAGCATGAGACCGTGATTCCTGGTGAGCTGCCCCTGGTCCAGGAGCTCACATCCACACTGCGAGAATGGGCTGTCATCTGGCGCAAGCTCTATGTGGTAAGTTGGAACTGGCAACAGCTCTCCTGGACCTTCGACCTGCCTCATCGTGGTGTGTTGGTCACTTGGTACCCTGTGTCACAGATGGTGCACAGTGATACCCGGGCCTCACAAAGATGGGGAAACCTTTTCCCCAGGGTAGGGACATTGATGAAATGAAATGGTAGAGTAGCTGGCATAGTCATTCAGTCAGTCTTCTCTGAACTAGGAATAAATAGCAATTATAAATAGCAATACAACTATACACAGATGTTACCGAATGCCAGGAGGTATTCACAAGACTTTATAAATTTGGTACTGTTGTTCACTGATTACCCTCCTCTCCTTTTCTCCATGTGTCCCAGTGAATAGGAGTGTAGTTTTTTCCATCTTAGCCACTTGAGGACTCAGCAGGTTGGCATTCTTTACTTTGGCCAGTGCTACAGAGCTTTGGAAACCCACTGTTGTTAAGCCATGGTCTAAAGACTCTACTTTTGGGGGGCTGGAGAAATAGCACAGCAGGTAGAGCATTTGCCTTGCATGCGGCTGACCCAGGTGTGATTCCCAGCATCCCATATGGTCCCCTGGCATCGCCAGGAGTAAATCCTGAGTGCATGGGCTAGGAGTAACCCCGGTGCACCGCCAGGTGTGACCCAAAAAGCAATCAAAAAGCAAAACAAAAATATAAAACAAAATAAAGACTCTCATTTTCTGGGCTGACGTGGTGCTATGGAATGGTTTGACTTCAGAATGCGAAGATAGGCTAGTTCAGTGGGGTGTTACACAAGACCTAGTGTATTCTGTCCACGGTAAACCATAATCACATGTCATGTGTAGGTTCATTATTAGAACAAGGTACATCTACTTGACCAGCACTGGGGGTTCCTCTCACCCACTGCCACTTCAAAAATAAATAAATAAATAAATAAATCGAGAGGGGTAGCTCTCTCACAAGAAGCCACAATACTCAAATTTCAATGGCAGCCAGCTTGCTTCTGTCTCCGTTTTAGGAAGCTCTTTTCTTGACACTGAAATGCACAAACTCCTCTTTCCTGGAGTTTTCAAGGATCACCACATCCGGTCTCTATAAACATCTTTGTGGCAGTCCAGGAATTCCTGTGATTAATGTACAGTCTCTTATCTGATATGTGAAGGGTTCAGTGAGTCACAAGCTGCTCTCAGTGATCTGGGAGCCGATCTTTTTTCCTTTATTAGGCTTTCTCATTGAGTCTTTTACTTCAGCAAGTCTTCATTTGACTGGTGTGTTGTTGTGTGGATAGAACACTAGAGTTAGGTGTTGGTGAGACATGAAGAGGTGAAAAAAATGAGTGGGGGCCTAGCTGGGCACCTGTGTATTTCACAGGAGCCTGATCTGGGGACGAGACGGCAAGTTCTCTGAGTCTTCATTACAATTCTCAAAAGTCAGTTGTAGAAAATTTGGGGGACATCTAACGCTCGGTCCTAGAACCTAAGTACTGAAAACAGGAATCACAAGTGCTTTCTGGTTTCTAAGCTTTAATGTAAGAGACGTGATTCCATCCAGCGTTGTTCTTATGATGGACCATAGCAGTAGAAAATCACCAGCCACTTTGGTGGTAATGCATGTGATTTCTCTGCCTGCCTATCCTTCAAGGACTAGTTTACATTTTTTTCTTCTTCATAATGTGTCTTCTGAACATACCAATCCATATAATGCTTCCTTCTCAACTAAAGGCATTCTTGCTGCCAAACCCATCATCTGACCCTTGGGACGCACACTTCTAATGCAAGTGATCTTTTGATCTCTTTGAGTTTGCGGAAAGAGCTAGCCTGTAAGTTCTTAATCACAAGCTCTTGTGGATAGAAGTGCTCTTTGGCTTCATTGATCATCTTATATGTACTTCTATTGAAAACATCTTCAGGTTCTGGTTACTTGCTTGATTAGTGTTGGATCTATATGGGAGATATTCACTTTGATGGTTGAGAAATTGCATATATATATGTTACTAAAAATAAAAAGGTCTTTCTGGAAATTGGTAAGTAGTGAAATATATTGGGCAATATAGTCCTGGGAGGTTAATTTTCATAAAGCAAGCCTAGAATTTATGAATAAGGAAGACCTTTCTTGTTAAAACACCACTTTGGGCTCTTGGTTCATTATTAGAGACATACCTCTACCCTCATTATTAGAGACATACCTATTATTCACAAATAATTGTGCCACGTCCAGTCTCTAATACAGGTGAGAAAGATGGAATCCGGGGGGAAGAAATCGAATGCCTGCATTCGAACTTAAAATTCATTAGTTAAATGATGGTAACTACTATCATTTGGGTTGAGAATTTCCTCTATGGAAGCTATTTAATAACAGAATTAGCTTCTGTGTGGGAATAAACCACCACTAACACCAACAACAAACCACTTTGGGCAGCATATTTTCATCAAGTACTTAATTCTTTCTTTGTCAATATTCAAAAATATTTTATGTGACTGCTCTTGGTTATCTAATAGATGTTTATTGTGTGAACCTTAAATCAGTTGATAGAACTGAGTAACCTGTTGCTGATTTTTTTTCACATGCTTACCCTTTATGAAATTTAGGTTAAATGGGGTTTTTATTCATTCTGGCTTTCTCTGTTTTCTTTTTATTCTTTCCTAAAGCATGGACAATTCACTGAGGCAGAATCTCTGAACTTCTTTCTCAAGAAAGTAAGAAGGATAATATAGAAGCATTATGTTTCACGGGAACATAATTTTATTTTAAAAGTAAAATAAAACCACATTTGTAGTTTCCTCTCCTTGCAATACACACACACATACACATACAAATTATTGTGTTTTTAAAAATTATGTGTAAATTCTTGCAATCTGTACACAATTTTTTTAAGATACACATTTAATTTTTTATCTTCTAGTTTTATGGGAAAGGACGTTAGCTTGCGGTTGCCTGAGGCATGCGCCAAACCACGCTGGCGAATTAGCTCAAGAGTTTTCGAAGATAGGCGGTTTTTTGTGGCTATCTCTCTCTTGGCGTTCCTCGCACATTCATGGAGGTGCTGAACCAGTCGATCGTATTCCTCGTCAATGTTGTCAACAATGGCATCTTCCCATGTTGCCGCAATAGTACCAAAGAGTTCCCAGTTGGTGGTCATTCTGGGAGTTCTCTTTTTGAACTTTGCAGCCCTTTCTCCCCGCTCTGTGAAGTAGAATTTTGCACGAAGGAGACGGTGGTCCAATCCCGTTCGAAATTTTGGAACAACAGCAACATCAGTCAGGCAAAACCGTCGATTGAATATGATGTGGTCTCTTTCGTTGTGGAATCATCCACCGGGAGACTCCCATGTCCATCATTTAGACTCTGCCTTCTGTAATTGTGAGTTACCATGAATGGTCTTGGTCGACATGATGAATTCAGACAGTCTCTCACCCTGTTCGTTCCATTCTAGGCCATGGGTCCCGATGTGAAGTTCTTCAGCTGATCTTCTCGGTCCTATCTTGGCATTAAAATCACCCACAATGATCTTGTAGAAGGTGTGGTCTTCTTTATAGAACTTCTCTAGCTCCATGTAGAACTTCTCGATTTCTCTTTCATCATAATGAGATGTTGGTGCGTAGACAATGAAGATAGAAACTGCAGGCAGTGAGCCACATCTATTCAAATGTAAACGTCCGATTCAGGTTGTTAGGCATTCGAATGAATCAATGCTCTTGGCCAAGTTTGTGTTGACAAGGACACCGACGCCTCCAACACCTCTTTTATCGCATGTTCCGAGGAACAATTCTTCTCCAGTGTCGAAAACGGCATGGTGAGATTCGTGCCTTCTTGTCTCGGTCAGACCAATGATGTCGTACTTGATTATTCGCGCTTGTACCATCAGGTCCTCGATGGATGCATCTGATGCTAGCGTACGTGCATTGAAAGTACAGACGATCATTTTTGTCTTCCTTCGTTGTGGCAGCCTAGGTCGGCCTTGAGATTTTGTCGGCCTCTCCTTTCTCATCCTTCTCAGTGCTGCCATGTCGGTGAAGCCTTCAGGGTCAGGTGAATGAGACCAGTTGTAGTTACTGGTTTTGGCATATCGAATACACAGCAGATAGTTTGCCAGGCTCTTCCGTGCGGGCGGAATACTCTCGGTAGCTTGCCAGTCTTTCCGAGAGGGATAGAGGCTTTTGGGGCTACCTCTAATCACCCTTGTAGGTGTTACCATATTTGAACCCTATCAAATACGGTACGACAATTCCGGAAGATGGGTATTTAGTGTCTTATGATGTGTTCAGAAAGCGTCCTGGAGTGCGGCGACGGCTGGGTAGTGGAAGTAGTGTCGCAAAGCAGTGCAGAGATGCGATCAAGGAAGACCTCAAAGAGAGAAGAGCAGAAGTACTGGTAGATGTGGCAGAAGCCGGAAAAAGTATTCGTAACGCCCGCCTATCCTTCGCCAACTATAAGACCAAGATGACTGCCCTCCGACGTCCTGATAGATCCATCACATCCTCCAGAACGGCAATGGAGAAGATTATCCATGACTTCTACTCAAATCTCTTCGATAGCCATGTCCACTTGCTGACATACCAAATTCCACAGGATGGATATGTCGTTCCCAACGTTCTCCCTTCCGAAATCCGACCCGCCATTTCATTGGTAAAGAAACAAACAGCACCCGGTCCAGACAAGGTCAGACCTGAACACCTGAAGAACCTGCCGTCAGTACTCATCAATACACTGGCTCGGCTCTTCACTCGCTATCTGTCTGAATGCAAGGTTCCGTCCCAACAGAAAACCAGCAGGACCGTACTACTGTTCAAGAAGGGAGACATCCATGACATTGGCAACTATCGCCTGATCTGCCTATTGTCTGTCATCTACAAGTTGTTCACTCGAGTCATCCTAAATAGGATTGGCAGAACACTAGATGAAGGACAACCATGCGAGCAAGCCGGGTTCCGCAAAGGATTCAGCACCATCGACCATATCCACATGATAACCAAGCTTATTGAGGTTTCTCGGGAGTTCAAGATGCCGCTCTGTTTAACGTTCATTGATT